CGCCCGGGCCCACATTCCTCCCCTTTCCCCTTCCCTAAGGCCCCCTAAGAGCACATTTTTCCATGCACGAGCAAAAATCTCCATTGCAATAAGGAATGCATCCTGCCAGAGCATGTGTGCAGGCTTTCTCCTGGGGTTTTACCGAAATCTTGGCTTTCGCTGTTCTCTGAAGTGGCACTTGCTGTAGGAGGGGTCGGTCCTGTGCAGGGTCTGGGCCTCTGCAGAACAGCCACACCGGGGACCCCTGAAGGTGTCAGCAGCAGGTGAGGGCAGAAATTTGAGCCTCTTGTGTTTCAGGGATGTCTCTGAATAATTGCAGCTTTTTTTTTTTTTTTTACCTCCCCCTTGTTTATTCTAACTACCTCAGGTACTCCATATAGCCAGCTTAACATTTCAGCAGCAGCCTAAAACATGCTGTGCTCAGCTCATTGACGATGTGCGCCCTCCCTGAGACCTGCGGGAGCACGGCTGGCACGTTTCAGAGCCCGTGGGGTAACTGCTGCATTAATTTGTCCCTGTCCTCAGTCTGAAATCCAGTCCTTCCTCGTGTGTTCTTTGGATGCCTTCTGCCCGCTAAACATCGGACCCTCCTCCAAAAGCTCCATCTGGGCTTTGCATTACCACCCTTCGTGCAGTAACTGGTTATTGTACTTACTGTTTAACGTTCCTTCTTTTTTCTTTTTTTAAAGAAAAAATTTTTTGGGAAAAAAAAAAATTCCAATTAAAGCTGTTACTATTCCAGTGCTCCTGAGTAGACATCATCTACTGTTGTCTCTTCGTCTCAAAGCAGCCTGGATGCATGGGATTAATTTAGTGGGTTTTCCACCATGTGAATGACGTGTTTCTCGCAGCATGTTTCCACATCTAGAGCCAGCAGTCCTCTGGGGCTGATCTCGGTCCAATCCTCCTTCCCCGTGCCTTTCCATCCTGCCCTCTCTGGGGGAAAGTCGCTGGAAACGATCTGGCCTCCCAAGGTGCTGCTTATGCTCAAGCACTAGGTAAGAAACTTTGTGAAGCAGGCAAAGATTTGGTTGCAGGATTTGTTTTGGCATGGAGATGTTTTTCTGGCTGTTTTCTGAATGGAGAAAAAAATCCTTGTATTTAGCCAAAAATCCTTGTATTTAGCCAAGGCGGTTGTGGTGCTCCCAATATGAACAGTTAAGATTTCAAGCCATGAAAGTGAAATATTCAGATGTTTGGCTGTGGCTTCAGTTTACCGAGGGTGAAGAGGAGACATGATAGTTTGATTTCATCTTTGGTAAACATATCTTGTGGTCTGGCATGGGGAGGCACCTCTGGGCTGCTGAGCCAGGACTGCCACATCTCATGGGTGGCAAGGAGGATGTGTCAGACACAAGGACGTGCTTGGACCTTGCTTGGCACCCGTTGCTCCATCCATGCCTGGGTGGGTGTTACTGTGTCATCTCCTGAATGCCTCAGGCCCTCCTTCCAAGGAGGATGAGCTTGCAGGAGGGTGAGCTTGCAGGAGGGTGCATGCTGGTGGCTAATGAGCACACTAGCCTGGTACCAGACCCTGCTGATACCAGGCTACCTGGCTCATGGAAAGAGGCTGGAAATTTTGGCATAATGTGACTTGATTTCCAAAGCAAAACCAAGGTCTAGCCTAGGAGAAGATGAAGAGAGTGGGGAAAACAAATAAGAAAGTAACCTTTTTGTGGAACTCATGAGCTAAGGAAGGTACCGAACATCCCTTTGCATCGTCAAAGGGAATGAGCAAACAAGTTCTTCCCAGACTCTTCCAGGGATGATGCACCAGGAGCCAGCTGTTGGCTCTCCTCCTTTTGTCTCCTGATCTCAGCAGTCCCTTGTTTCCCAAGCAGATATTGTCCCATCTAACCCATTTAATTTTTCAGCCCTACCTTCAGGAGCAGTGTTGGCCTCCACAGCAGGATGTTGGACATACCACCAGCATACTCCTCTAGCCCAGGTTCACTCAGCCCTTGCTACATTGTCCCTGCTCAGTTCGGTGCCCAGACCTGTGGCCGTCATGGGATTTGGGCTGTGCTTCAGACACCGTCCAGGCTCTTGGGGCTTCAGTCAATTCATGACCCCAGTTGAGGCTCACTGGAGAGAGCAGGGCTGCAGCGTGAGCACTGCTGCAGCCCGAAGGCTCGGCCGTGGCTATTGGAGAGCAGCTGTGTCGTGGCTGACAACTGGGCTTTAAAATGGTGCCTTTAGGACAAAGTTGTAACTGGGGGGGAAGATGCAGTTGAACCACTACTTTACTTGCTGCTGCTGCTTCTCAGCCCTCTGATGTCTCCTACAGATGCTTTCCTAGAACAGCTCGTTGCTTGCTTTGCACAGATACGCGTGCTTTGAGATGTGTGGAAACAGAATAAAAACAGGTGAATAATGATCCTGGATTAGATTACATATATGGATCTGCTGGTCCAATAATGAGGCATTGGCTTGCTTCCTTGAAACCTGCAGATTTCTGTGTATCACATTGCCTGCCTTTCCCCTCATTTCCAATTGCTAGTAAGTCTCGGCTGGTAAGAAGGTCTCTTAACTCAGCTGCCCGTCCTTACTTGTTTCCTTTCCTCTGTGAAATTGGTCAGTGCCAGTAACCCATGGCTGGGGCGGTGGTTGATGTTGGGAGCTTCACAACATAGCGTGGCACGAAAACCCATCCTCCAGCACAGGTACACCCAGTGGGAAAGCAAAAAGGGAGCACATGTGAGATGATGTCCCACTGATGGTCTGTTGTGGCATTTTCTGAATTACTTCTGAATTATTTGCATAAAGAGTTGGTTTCTGCTGGGGTTATTGGTCCCCTCCTGACTGGCCCGGCACTGCAGGTTCATCGCCAGGATGGGTACGGATGATGCACCACCACGGATGCCTCACTATGTGCTGCCTCATTCCTATGTGGTCTGGGCACGAAGGGCAGTAGCCATCTGATTTGGGCAGTTCCCCATTAGCTGCTTCACTGCTGGCTGACTCCCTCTAATATTTCAACTTCAAGGAAATGATTTGGCTTTTTTTCCTTGGGCCAATTAAGAGAATGACCTGCTTCAGCCTGAGTCACCTTGGAAATGCGTTCGCATCATTTTCTCCTCTACTTCAGCCATCAAAATTGAATGATCATCTGGTATCAGCTCAGCTCGACACTAAATGACTGAAGAAGATATGTCAGAAGGGGAAGAGAAAGAAAAGTCACCTCTGGGTTATCATTGTCTGTACAGAAAAGCTGCTGTGTCTATGATTTTTGCTTTGTCCTTGCCAGCTCTCGGAGTCCAGACGCCCAGCGCAGTTTGCAATGAAAACTAGAGTCTCTGATTAAAGACCCTGGAGGTCTCTGGGCATCTGTTTTCATCCCTAGAAATCCCTGCTGAAAATCAATTGCTTTGCTTCCTTCCCAGCTCTCAATTAAATGCTTGCTGTGGATTATCTGCTGTCAGGACACTCCTATCTTGCAATGTGAGGAATTGGTAATGAGTGCTTAAAGGAAAGGAGTTGGTTAAAGGGCTGCTCCTAGGTCTTCCTCTTGTTGGCAGGTTTCTTTTGCCACCAGAAGGCCATCGTTCCCAGTGCTGTTTCCTGCATCTGCCCTCCTCTGATGGCAGTATCCCCCATGCCAGGTGGAGGCACGATGGCTTACTTTGTGGAAAATGGTGGTAGAAAATCCAGCGAGGATCATGCCGCGTCGCTTGGACTTCTGCCCTGGGTGCTGGGCTTTGCCGGCACCCCAGGCATATCTAGCTTAGCAGTCCTGTTCCAGGTTTGGGTTTCCTTGTCTGCTGGACTCTTATAACCTTCCCACTTTAATAACCCAAGCAAACTTAATTGGGCTTGATCCATCATAAAACATGGGCTTGGATGACTGTAAATTAACAGAGATGGTCATTGTCCCTGGAAATGTAACTTCCATCGTGTATCTGTGGCATGACCCGCTCACGCCTCCTATCGAATGCCCTTTTTTTGGATAATGGGCTTCACACGAAGCATCCCCTGGGGCTCGCCTCTTCACACCTCAGCAGGCTTAATCCATCGGTGAAATTCAGGGACTTCCAAGCAAC